AGAGAGAGAGAGAGAGAGAGAGAGAGAGAGAGAGAGAGAGAGAGAGAACATGCACATTAATTCACCATGAGGAGGTGACATTCTAGCCCCAATTTCAAATAACATTTTCCTGTTAAGAAATGCTGTCTCCAGTTTGTTTCCTGTGTAATGCATATAAATTCACAGAGAGATCAGAGCAAACCTTCTGATGACAAGCCACTTTGAAGCATCCTGGGGGCATAAAAACTGTTAGTTTTTTTCTACTTCCTAACAATTCTTACATCCCCTGGGCTATAGGAGCTTCATATGCTTAAGTAGCCCTACACAACGCTACTTCTTCTCCTCCTCCTCTCCCCCCTCCTCCTCCTCCTCTTCCTTCTCCTCCTCCTCCTCTTCCTTCTCCTCCTCCTCTTCTTCTTCCTCCCCCTCTTCCTCTTCATCCTTTTCCTTTCCCGTTAGGCTATAGGTACACTTCTATGTCTTCTTTTTCTCTCATAATTTTTCAACCCAGAATTCTTGGAGTAGCCAGGCTTCAGATCTTGTCTGATTTGATGTAAATTCCTAGGGTACACTACAAAGCCTCAGGAGCCCTAGAATCTGGAGATCTAGGCTGGGGTCATCCAGCAGATACCACAGAGTCTTCATAGGAAAAATGAGTTGTGTTGAACTGGGCTCTTAAAAGCTTTGATAACAATGTTTATCAGAAATATGGATCTTGTTTAAAACAAAAAAAAAAGTCAGGAGTGGGGCAATGCTACCATCTCCTCCCAACCCCAAGCCTGACATGACAAAGCCAAAGACAGTCTGAGATTCCCTAGATGATGAGATGGAAGGTAGGCTGATAAAGACATTTTCAAATTTGAAAACAGTGAGAGAATTTCATAGTGGGCACTCATGCTTAGTGCAGTGGCATGGAATAGTCCCTCAGAAAGAATTGCTATTTCTCTAGACTCTCTCCATGCTGAGCATCTTGGTTCTACCAGGGAGTGACTTTATTATTCTATCACTCACCTAGCCATCTCCCCGCCCCTCTAGGCATCTTCCTATTCATCTTATTTTTAAAAAGATGATGTCATTTGCTTTTCTAGCTTTTTACAATTTGCAACAACCTGCTTTCATTGAAGTTTTATCAGACTTGTACATGACGTAGCTATGATGAGTTTATCAGTCTTACAGATCAATAAGTTGACTCTCAGAAAACTTCATAAATTCACCCAGTCACAGCCTGACTAATCTCCCAATTAAACAGAAATTTAGAAGACATGTTTTATTGATTAATATAGCTGCTTTCATGGAAGAGTTTGGTGAATTAGTGGGTGAATGCATGAATGAGTGAATGAATGAATGAATGAATGAATGAATGAATGAATGAATGAATGAATGACTTTGTGAGCCAATGGCTTAGAAGGAGAATGTCTAGTCTCATTCATTTCTTAGCATATGGAATTTGTGATAAATGCATGTTTATGGACTGAATGAATGAAAGGTGGTTTGAGTTCAGCTGTTCCTCCAAGTCCCTCTTCTGTTTCCACAGAGCTAGGAGCCTCTGGAAAGGAAATACCTCCAACAGTGATGTCGGGGATCCTAGGGTGTTGGGGGCCAGTGGCCACAGTCGACCAGGTTCACCTGAAAGAGAGGCTGGGAATGGAAGAAAGGACAGGAGGGAAGGAAGAGATGAAGCCAGGACAAAGGTTTCTGATCAAGGCTCAATCCTTTAATGTTCAGTTCCTAATTTAAAAGGGGTAACCCACCCCCAGAGTTCCTTCTTGCTTCAGCTGGGGGTGAGCAGAAACCATCCTGTTGGGGGTGAGGGGAATCCATACTTAATTGTAGGCCAGAGATGTCTCAAAGCAAGCTCAGCAGGCAGTCTATTCTTCTCAGCTTGTGTACCAGGCTACAGGTAGCCAAAGAGGCGCCAAGGCCAAAGCAAGCAATACCTCCACCAAGGGCAGGCAATGCCTCCAGGCAATACCTCTGGAGTCCTAATGTTTGGTCTATTGTGGTAAACAAAGTCACATCTCTCAGACCTGCTCAAGGCTGGGAGAAGGGCACACTAGGGGTTTCTGTGACTTTCCTCCTAAACATCTCAAGGGATGCAGAGATTGAGCACATCACCTGGAATAATCCCCCCAAGACTCTTGCTTTAGTGGTCTACAAAAAAAGATATAATGATTCTAGACAAAGAATACAATGGCCGACTCAACATCAGAGGAGATGGCTACTCCTTGTACATGAGTAACCTAATCAAGAATGAGTCAGGATCCTACCAGGCTCAGATAAACCAAAAGAATGTTGCCCTCACCATAAAGAAAGAGTTCACATGGCACATCTATGGTGAGTTCCAGAGAGCTTGGGGAATTTTCCACCCCCCACACTACCACCAAACCCTTCTGATTTCTAATAACTTTGTCTCTAACCTTGCCAAATCCAAGTCTTCTTCACATGCAAAATATATTTATCTCATTCCATCAACACCCAAAGTCTTAACCCACTCTAACATCAACTTTAATTCCAAAATACTATCTAACTCAGTCGTGAATGAGACTTGAAGTATAATTCATTTTGAAGCCAGTTGTGAACCTATGAAACAAGACAAGGTATCTCCTTCCAGAATACACTGGTGGGTTTGGGCATATGGTAGACATTGCCATTCTGAAAGAGCAAAATTAAAAAGGAGTCACAGACTCTGGGCAAACCTAAAATGCAGAGTGACTATTTTCATATATTTTAAGGCTCAGTGCTGTATCTTCTGGGCCCATAATAGCGACAGCAATGCCTTCCATGTCCCCTGGTATGACCACTCCACTCCTTGACTTTAGGCATAATTCTGGTGTTTAGAGAAACCCCAAAAAGGAACCCCAATCCTACTGCATACTTGTCTCTTCTGGACTCATGGTTATAGATTGCTGTCTATTTGCAGATGAGAGCTGGCACAAGATTAGGTGAGAGCCTGTCATTGGGCAATGGAAAAAGAAGGCGAGCTGAGAGTTTTAGAGAGGAGAGAGATAGGAGAGACAGAGGAGAAGGAAAAAGATGGAAGAAGAGAAAGACAATCTAGAGTCTGTGTGGCTTCAAATAGCCACAGGTATCTATGAATATCTTCTAAGGCATAGACAATTACAGGACAGTTTGTCTTATCTAGGTGGGCAATTTTTATCAATATCACTTGGTTCTGAGTTCGTGGATGTTTTGTAAGGTGAGAATTTGCTGACATAAATCTGACTGATAAATTACAAACCTTTAGAGTTTTGATTTTACTGGGTTACTGGGGTTACAGGGGGTGGATGGCTAGAAATGTGAACAAAATTCACAACAATAACAACAAAAACAAACAAACAAAAAACAATAAGATGGGCAGTCACTACATGGGGCTGCTTGCCATGGAGGCAGCAAGATCCCTGGGGCCAGAGAGTAACCGGAGATAGTGTGAGATGGTACCTTTTTATGTTTCAAACAATGCAGAGTGACAGGGACAGCCCTGCCATTGGTGTCTTCTTCTTGATGGATAACAGGTACTTGAAGCCCTGAAGCTCATTGCACTGTTTACAGACAGCTGAAAGGCTGACAGCTTTCTTTCTACCCTATTTTTGTTCCTTCAGTTTAGGCTTGTCGTGTTTTATCGATAGAGTCTATAAGTCACGCGCACGCTCTCCTCAGCAAACCTTGTCCACACACACATTCTCCCTAGATGTGATTGCTTATGTTTTGTAATATAAATATTTATGCATATGTAGATGTAGGTTTGAGTGTGCATGGGGGTGCCCATGGAGGACAGAGGAAGGTGTCAACCCCCCTGGAGCCCGAGTCCTGGGTGAATGTGACACACACAATGGGAGTACTATGGGAATCAAACTGTGGTCTTCCGCAAGAGCAGAAAGGGCTCTTAGCACTGATCCATCTCTCCAGCACCTTACCTTTAACGTTTTGCTTAGAAATACATTTTGTTACTTAAACATTCTACCTTCTACAAAACAGTAGAATACAATTCAGCCAAGTTCTATCCCACTGTATATAAGCGCTCACTTTTCTCCACTTTCTAGTGGCATGTCCCTAATTTCTGAAACATTACCAGAAAGACCTTAAATGTTCTCATTTCTATGGCTATTCATATATATATATATACATATATATATATGTATATATATATATATGGAATTCTAATATATATTAGAATTCCAAAAGGTTGTCAGCTATCTTTCTAACATATAGATATTAGATTTCCTTACAATACCCCTGTTTTCTTTCTGAGTATATATATATATATATATTCCCTACAGTGTTCCTATTCTCTTTCTGAGTCTTCAGAAACTGCCTTTACTATCATATTTCTACCAAAAGCATCTTGAACATACTATTCAAAATTCCTCCATCCTCAAGCTGAGCGATGGTGACTTACACCTTTAATACCAGCACTCGTGAGGCAGGCAGGCTTCTGTGAGTTCAAGTCCAGCCTGGTCTACAGAGTGAGTTCCAGGACATCCAGGGCTACACAGTGAAACTCTGTCTCAAAGGGTTTTTTCCAACATCTATTCACCAGCCATTTCCAAAGACATCTTCCTTCATTTTAGACATTTGTTGCAACACCTTACTTACAAAATCTCTATTGGTTTGCTAAGGCTGCCATAATAAAATATTATTAGCTGATGGGGCTGGAAAGATGGTTTTGTGGTTAAGAGCTGTGCATCCAGGGGACCCAGGTTCACTCCCAGTACCCACATGGCCATTAACAGGTGTCAGGAACTCCAGTTCCAAGGGAATCTGATGCCCTCTTCTGACCTCCATGTACACTGTATGCATAGAGCACCCAGAAATGTGTGCAGGCAAAACAGTCGTACACACAGATTTTAAAAATATATATTATTGGCTGAGTAGACTAAACAATAGAAGTGTGTTTTCTTACAACTTTACAGTCTCATCACGATACCCGTAGGTTTGGTTTCTTCTGAAGTCTTTGGATTAAAAATGGCTATCTTCTCTCTAGGTACTCAGATAGGAGTCTAGATAACTGTTGTCCTATTTATCTTCTTATTATAAGAATAATAGAATTTGGACCTACTCTAACATATTCACCCCTATGTCCAAACACAAACCTGTCTCCAAAGTCACATTCTGAGAAGTTGGAGGTGAGGTTTTGAGAAAAATTATTCATTTCATGTCACCTATCAATCAGGTAGTTTGACATCTCTGTTGATTTGTATGGTATTCTGTATATATTAAAGAAATATTGTGCAGCTAATAAACTTAGAATAGATTATTAACATGTAGCGAATTTTCATATGTATTTCTAATGTTTAATAAGTTCTAGACAGTATGAATAGCATGCGATCACTTGTGTGTATCTACAAGGACCAGTATAAAAACTCTAAGTATTACTGTGCCACTTAGGGTGAACATGACCAAAATATACACTGCAAAATTCTCAGTTAATTAGTACAAACATTACTTTAAAAGGAACCTCTTAGGAGTAACTTTCTCCAGAAAATTAATGGAGGAGAAGAAATAGGTGTTTGGGGTAGTAAAGGCTACTTTCTAAAATCACATATCCTTTTGCTTCTTTTCAATTTTGTGCATGTAACTAGCACCTGTTCAAGAAAAATTAAACACAAGGTTCAACAGAGGAAGTGGAATAAAAAGGAAGCAGAAAAAAAAAGGACCGAAAGCAGTGGGTCCTAAAACACAGGGAAGTGAACTCCTTCCTCCCTAGGTCATTCGGCAATTACTCCGCACGAGGGGGTCCCAAGCAGGGTAGGGAAAGGGGAGAGAGAAAGGGAGAGAGGGAGTCAGAGACTGAGATGGAGACAGAGACAGAGAAAGAAAGAGAGAGACATACAGAGAAAGAATCACAGAACCATGAACTTTGAGCTGTTGTGATAATGTCATAGAAACACAGTGGAGAGGCACTCACCCTAGCTTGCAGACAAAACTTGCTTAGAACAGAGAATGCTGACATTCCTCCACGCCTAGCTTCTCTACCATCACCTCCTTCTTCAGGCAGCCTTTTCCTGATAAGGAAGAAATCTGAGAGTCTCCTCAATGTTGTTATCCCCCTCAGAGCAGCTACAGGAGCCTCAGGTCACAGTGAAATCTATGACCTCATCCGAGTATGATTCCTGCACCGTCACCCTAATCTGCACTGTAAATGGGGCAAAGGACGGTGTCCATACAGCTGGACCCAAAAGGACACCCATTTTAATACATCCCTTGACAACCACATCCTCGGGGTTTCTCAGAGTGTCTGTGACCCAGACCTATCGTATACCTGCACAACCCGGAATCCAGTCAGCCAAAGCAGCTCCCAACCTGTCCGTGTCTGGCAGTTCTGTACAGGCAAATGGCTCCACTCAGATATTCCAGAGGACTTTAGAAACATTCTGAGCACCCATGGGGTTTAAAGTTCAAGTTTCAGTGAGACATAGACAGTGGAGAAAAGAAAGCTACTCAAGGGCGTAAGAGAGGCTGGTCAGACTTGAAAATCTTGGACACTGTGGCATCCCAAGGGAGGAAAAGAAGGTCCTAAGGTAAGGGTCCAAATTGAGCTTAACTTGAGTGTCTTCCAGTATCACTCCAAAAGTGGGGAAGACTGGACAGGCCAAGAGGGGAACGAAAATAACAAAATAAAACAAGTGGTCTTGGAAGAACAGTGGAGGTGCCTCATGGGGGTGGGGGGTATGGGAAGAGGAGAAGGGGTTCCAGCCTCCTTCAGCTTGACTTGGGTGGTATGGAGGGTCAAGGGAGTTAGGAACAGAGGCTCATGCCGCAATGCCTCATCTCTGACTTCAAATTCAGGAGCCTCCAGAAGAAAAACAGCAGCGGGGGAGACTGTGGTAGGGATCCTGGGAGAGCCAGTGACCCTGTCCTTGGCATTTCAGGCAAGTCAGGACACAAAGAGTGTTGTCTGGGTGTCTAACACATCGGTTATCAGCCAAGAACCAAAAGGAGCAGCAACAGCGGATCCTCACCATAAGCCCAAAGATTCTGAAGAAAGGAGGGTGAGGATCTCTGACCAGGACGGCTCCCTGAAGATCAGCCAGCTGAAGATGGAGGACACAGGCCCCTACCATGCCTACGTGTGCTCAGAGGCCTCCAGAGACCCCAGTGTGAGACACTTCACACTGCTTGTCTACCGTGAGTACCCCTTGACAGCTTCCTCTCTTACTTTCCTTCCCTAATGCTCTAGTAATAGCTAGCCAATTCACACAGATGTACCCAGGAAGGAGACATTAGAAGCATCAGGTGAGTGGGCCCTACCTGCCAAGGTGTTCCTTGATCTAGGCCTCAGACACCTAACTTTCATCTGTCTGCATGTTCATGTCCCATCATCGTTTAGAACGAGGGCGGGGCTAACTCGGGTGGAAGCAGAGTAGACTGGAGGGAGGCTCTTGACCTCTCAGACACAAGAGGGGGGCCACTTGGGACCCAGAGCGTGAGACACTGAATTTGCATTCTTCCTCCTCAACCTTGGGCTTTACAGGAGTTGGGCTTGATATTTTTGTGTAGTTTAAGCCTGTCAGCTCTCTTCCCTGTCTACATCCTAGGTGATACAGCGGGTTGGAAGTCAGTCTGGATTACATGAGACCCTGTCTCTAAACAAATAAATGAATGTAAAATAATTTTGTTTAAGTATAACAAAAATGAATGTGGTATTTAAGTGTTAATTTTTCTTTTGAAAATTCTTGGTTAAAGTTTAAAGACATTGTGTTCAGAGAACGGAACTCGTTCATGTTGATTAACTGGTAAATTTTCACTGCAAGATAAGTGTCTGGATTAAGTAGTTTCCTTCATATTTCCCTCGTTCACATATGAGTATCAAGGTCCACAGAGGTAACAGATGCTCATGGCGTTTTGTAGGTAAGGAAAAGACCTCCACGGGGCGTATGACTCCTGTGGGTGTACCACGCATTCTTCATGGTTGTATTCTTTCTCTTTTACTTTTCTTTTTAATTGTGGGTGAGCGTGTGTGTGTGTGTGTGTGTGTGTGTATGCACACTTGTGCATGCATGTGTGCATGCATGTGTGCGTGTGTGTGTGTGTGTCTGTGTCTGTGTCTGTGTCTGTGTGTATAGAGGATAGTGTTTAGGGATCGGTTTTTTCAATCCACTATGTAGGTCTTGGGACTCAAACTCAGGACATCAACTTTGGCATCAAGCCAGTTCACTGACAGGTCTAGCTCCACACTGGCCCTGCCTCTCCCCCACAAAGAGAGACTGAAGAAGCTCAGTGTCACCCAGAGTCGTGTGCACATGATGAATGGCATCTGCAAGGTTGTTCTGACCTGCTCGGTGGTGGAAACAATGTGACATACACGTGGATGCCTCTGCAAAAGGAAGCTGTTATGTCCCAAAGGAAGTCACACGGCAATGTCTCCTGGAAAGGGGGTGAATGCCTGCCCCACTTCACATGCACAGCCCATAACCCTGTCAGCAGCAGCTCCAGACAGTTTTCTTCTGGGACCATCTGTTCAGCTCTCTCTCTCTCCCTCCCTCCCTCACCCTCCCCCCCTCAACCCAGGCTGCAGAAGCTGGAACTTTGATGTCCAGTGTTTGTGTTCTTAGCTGTTTATGAAAGTCAGTGAGGGAATACAGAACAGAATCCTCTAGAGCATCATTTCAGTGCAATGGGACCCAGATACATAAGGTTCTCATAGCTGTGTTGTTAGAAGCAAAAAGAGACAGATGTGTTAGTAACTACTCTGAATACTTCAGAGGCTGAGGCAGAATTACAAATTTGAAGTCAGCCTGAGCTACAAAGTTAGAATTTGTCTAAAAAAAAAAAAAAA